CATTTGCTTAGCGCTGATTGAAAAAAAGCAGCCCTGAAAAAAGTGATCTATGACTTAGTCCTCGCACCAATGACCATGGTAGCATCTCCATGGTCACAAGATCAAAATTTGGTTGGCATATATTTACAATAGTTGCACTGTTCGGGGATCATGTGATCAGAACTGTACACTTCTCAGCCAGCTTCCAACAAGCAAAGTTAATGGGGGGAAGCTAGATTTGCTTAATGTCCAAATGGATTCACTTAACAACCGTGGCAAAATGGTTGTAAATCCAGATGCAACTCACTTAACAACCACCTGCCTTAGCAATGGAAATTCTGCTCCCAATTGTGGTCATAAATCAAGGACTGCTTGTGTACAGTTCTGGAGAGGACGACCTAAAAACACCAAAGTTAAGGAAGGCTTCAGTCCGATGGCTGATTCAATTGATCCACTCTTTGAATCAAACTGGTAAATCAATGGGAATCTCTGAATTATCAGCCTAGCCTTTGTGCTCATACACAGATATATTTTTAAATAGAATTGCCTTTTCAAGGGGAACAATTAGAGTAGTGATGGTTAACCTTTTCGGTGCCAAGTGCCTAAAGCAGACATGTGCATGAAAGCAGGCATGCACCCCCACCCCCGCGCATGCGCCCTGCCTCCCCATTCCCTGTTTTTGCTTTCACGCTGGTGCAGAAGGCTTTCCAGGCCCAAAATGGGGCACGGGCGGCCCTCGCGCAACATCCCTGTGCCCCATTTTATTTTCCAGGTTGGTCCGAGTGGCAGAAATGGAGGAGAAAGGTAGGGCGTGCTGGGCGTAGGGGAACCTCCAGAGATCGGGAAGGCATGGGCGACAGAAATGGAGTAGAAATGTAGGGCGCACGGGGGGGGGACCTGCGCAGATTGGGGAAAGGCGCTCCCCCCTGCGTATGTGTGGCAAAGACCCAAAGACCAGCTGGCCAGCAGGAGGCACGCGCACATGCGCGGTGGGGCTGGGCTGGGGCGACAGCTGGAGTGCCCTCAGAGAGGGTTCTGCGTGCTACTTGTGGCACAGGTGCCATAGGTTCGTCATCATGGAACTAGAGTAAGCACTGCTGATATGACTGAGGATAAGTTTCAATATGGTTTCTTGTTCCTTCCCGGGATTATAATAACGTAAAGTGCCCAAAGTCAAGATGACTGTCATTTCCTACCTGGCCAGTGTTTCTCATGATTTCCACAGCCTGTTTATGTGTTGCTCCTTCCAATGTGATCCCATTAACAGAAAGCACTCGGTCACCTAATAGCCAATAAGAGATATTTATAACAACAAAGAGAAGCAAACAGATAGGCCTGCCACAATCTAATATTTAATTCAATAGCCATTCATTTGAGCAAGACATTTACAGATCAAGAAGTACTTCTGAACCCTCATAACCAAAGCTGGACTGCAACACTTCAAAATCACCACTAGATAGCAGCAAAGGTAGGCAGAAAAACAGAAAACCTCACTGCTTTGCTGTCATCTAGTGTTCAACCAAATATATGCAGGCCAAATTTGGCAGCCATCCTTACAAGCAGACATGAATATGATAATCTCAACTGGTTCCAAGAATGTAAAATATAATACTTAGATTTTTAAAGAAACGTTGCTAAAGCTAACTGGAAGCACTGATTTATCTTACAGCATTTGAAGACACTTGGCCTCTTGACCCCAATTCTCCTACTCTCTCCGCAGTAAGGCCTTTTTCTTGAAAGCCTAAGCCAGGGATGGCAAACCTTTTCAGCACCGAGTGTCCAAACTGGAGTTTGTTTCCTTGTTTATTGGATTTATATGCCGCCCTTCTCCCAAAGGACTCAGGGCGGCGTACAACATTAAAAAAAACACATATAAAAAAAATTAAAAAGGAAATAAAATAAAGAATCAAAAAAAAAAAC